AACACACACACACACACACACACACACACACACGCACACACACGCACACGCACGCACACGTGCACGCACACAAAGCTTGCTCCAACAGATCATGGCCCAGCAGTCCAGGCTGGGCTCATTACGTCCCACCCACCCCTTCCAACCACTACCACCAGGGTCCTGACCACACAGTGGGTCGACGCCCAGCCACGAGTGGGGGGGGGGGGGGGGGGGGGGGCATGGGAAACATCTGCTAATGTTTTCCCGCATGCATGACACTCGTAGTGTGCTGTCAGTGCCAAACTTAACTTAATGCAGTTTGGCAGATGATGCAGGTATTTTCTTTAAAATTGGCACTACAGGCAAAACTCAGTTGACTCAAGTTGTATGTATTTTGTGTTTACGAAAGGGCTCTGATAAGTTTACAGCAGAGTGAGCTTTCTTCAGTCGAAGAAACAGAAGTCGACACAGCTCAGACGTCGCCTCAGAAAAAGAAAAACTACTGCAAAGGGCACATGATTCATTGTTCTTTAGTTTACTTTTGTGATGTAAATATGCAATTACCTAAAAATCAGTCATGGAAGAACTTCACTGGAAAGACCCACACAGCGAAGTGGGAGCAAAACAGAGGCAACGAGAGATACTGAGAGAGAAACTGAGGCTTGGCTACACGGAAAGAATTCAGCCGCTCTCACATCTATAAACATCTAGTCCGCTTTTAAAGATAAACACTTCAAGTTGCACAGAAAACGGAGCTCGCTTCGCTTCTGCAGACTGCAACATCACCACGTAACCAACTAGTGCGGTGTCCATCACGTCTGTGGACACTGACTAAGCAGTTTCTTTCAGCTTACGTTGGAATCTACCAACCAAGCTAACCAGAGACAAATTCTTCGCGTGGGCTCCGTATCGTGAGGATGAAGTATTGTTTGCTCTTTCTCTTTTTCTCTCCACATGCCCCACTTTGTTTATTACATGCATTTGTTGTCAGGAACATCAATTATTTTAATCTGACTAGGAAAGAAGAAAAGATCCTGAGAAAATATGCACAAACTTCACTTGGCCTAGCTTGCAATTAACAAACACAATAAGTTTGTAGATTTATCAGATCAGAATCAATAGCTTCAAAAGGATCTGCCTTCCTGTGAGTTTATTAAAGCATTTGCAAATGAGGCATACAGAGATCACAGGTCTCCACAGCAATGAGCGAAGCGCTGCTCTCTGACTTTGACTTCATACACAACAGTGAGCATGTCAGGGAGGAGCTGTCCCACAGAGGTTACAAGTTCATTGCCAGAATGAGCAACCTCCTGCTACCTCACCTCAACCAAAAAAACGCGCTGCTGCCTCGTCCGGACTGAGGCGTCTGATTCCAGTTCCTGTTTGAGTGGCTAAGGAATTCAGACACAGACGCGCTTCCTTTGCTACTTTAGTATTTTTGACACATAGCAACAAAGTGTGAGGGCAGTTTTAAAATGCATTTTCCACCACATACCTTCATAAAAATAAAAGATGTATTTTTATCAGTCGGATGTATCCAATTTAACTTTGTACTTCTGCAGGCTTCATATGGAGTTCTGCTTTAATACCATCTCTAATAAGGTCTGTATGGTTAACAGGCTTGTTCTCCTTCTGCATTCCCTCTGTGTATGTCACTTCTCCCACTTTCTTTTTCTCTCATTCAGCGACCTACTTCTGCCCCAATTTGTAACACAATGATACAAATCAAAAGTTATGATAACATCCTTTGTGTTTGATGACAACAAAACCTGATTTCTCAGTTTCCTCTCTTGTATCAGTGCACCTCCTTCCGTCTTTACGCAGCAAACTGTTCATTCCAGGTTTGTGGATCCATACGGTACCAACCTGTTGCTGTGATTTGTAGAGTCTTACTGGATGGGTGCCGGCTATACCTGGGTATAAGAGTCTGTACATACAGTACAGCAACATTCTAGCCATTCCTCCTCAGATATAAATTAAAAACATGTGCCGTAACTCAAAAGAACCTTTATATGAGGCCTAGATTTATTACGGTAAAGGTTCTTAGTGGGTATAATATGGAGCTCTGTTGGAAGAGTGTTTGGTTGATGATGAAAGAGTCTGGAGATAATCTTCTGTTTGGCTTTATAATAACACTGGCAGTTTAGTGTATATTAAAGGGCAAACAGCTTTGTAACCAAGCTCCATTCTAATGGCTGTGGCGTAACTGCAGCTATAATGCAAGTGATTTAGTTTTTATGACCATACTTGTCACAAAGAAATGCCACGCATCTCACGCAAGAGAGTAAAAATCCTGACCTGGGTTGTTAGCTATGAAACATGGAGAACGCGTGGGTTGTGTAACATTTCTGGGTTTGTGTATCTGATGCTGAACACTGTGGGTGGTAACCACACTCTAATGAATAAGCTTGGTGTTGATTTCCCTCAAATGTGACAAAGCTTTTACAGATAAATCCACAATGTGTGCACAATATTTGGTAC